ACAATACCAAATGCAAAGTGCTCCAAAATTCCAAACCTTTTGAGAACTGACAGTGCTCAAAGGAAATGCTCGTTGGAGTGTTTTGAATTTTCGGATTTAGGAAGTTGAACCAGTAAGTATATAATACAAATATTCCAAAATCTGAAACACTTTTGGGCCCAAGCATTTTGAAAAAGGGACACACAATCTGTAAAGAAAGAAAGAGAATAACGTGTGCATATATATATTAAAATAAATGTATATAAAATACATATGTAATATTCTCAGCAACCCCAAAAGAGTGGAGGTTATTATCCATATTTTACAGATGAGGAAGCTAGGCACAGAACAGATGTAAACCTTTTCCTGGGTAATGCAGTAACTAAGTGGAGCAGAGATTCAAACCCAAATGATTTTAAACTCCAGGGCCTACACTCTTGATCATAAAGATTTGCAACTTGTCGAGGGCAAGGTCATTGTTCTTTGCATTCTTAGGAATCCTAGAATAAATAATGAGATTATAGCCGAGCAGGTACTGAGTGATGGAGGCTGGAACATCTTTCCAGCCCAAAGAGGAGGGACAAAGGGCACATATTGGAGTCGGAAGAAACACTTATTTCTCTTTCCCTTGTGTATGTTTATGGAATAGAGAACCTCAGTTTGGGCTGTTGCTGTTTTTCTAATACTACCAAGCACAGGGATATTAAAAACAAAAAAAAAAAACAAGCCTGTTCAAGGAGTCCTAAAGGCTAGCTGAGGAGCCTTAGGATGAAATAGGGTCATAGCCTCAATCTATTGCTTATTAGCCACGGATCTCAGCAGGTTGCCTAGCCATCAGTTTTCTCCTCCATAACGTAGAAGAGAAGGGAAAGGAAGGGCTATGATGATCACATGAAATTATGATTAATACCATATAAATTATTTAGAACTATGCAATTGTAAACCTTTCATTTTAACTTACGATTCAATTTAAAGTATGTGACCCTTATGGCCTTTATTAAGCTCAGTTTCCCACAAAAGTATGTGTGTTTAAGTAGAAGGCAATATTTGTGGTTTTTAATCATACTTAGCTGCTTGAGTGCTTAAGTTGTCATCTCGTAAGAATTTCCTATCACATGATTAAGTTTAGGTATCCATGATCACAGCTGAAAGATTTTTCTTGCTTTTTGGTCCAAACTAGCAGGAGCACTAAGTGGCTAAGGTGGTATTTGAGGTCTGGAGCTAATAATGTAAATTATGCTGTTAAAATTTTAAATATTGAATATATTCCTTAGCTTCCACAAACACTAATTCCTTTTCAACCTTGGCCACACTATAAGCAGATGACAGAGGGGGAGCCTCAGGAATGCTGCTGGTAATAATAGATGCCCTATGAATGGAGTGGCCAAACCCAAGGGGCCACACCAGTTTACAAGTGCCTTATGGGCTCATTTATCTACAGCAGGGTTTGAGCACAGCTATGATGAATAAACTCCCTGGTGTATTTCTTCTTTTTTCCCTTCATCCTTTTTCAAAATTAGATACCTCCTCATTCGGAGGGCAAGACCTGTGGTTTGCATCAACCTATCTTATGTATTGCTGGAAGAGCCGTGGTGCCAATGCTCTAAGCAGTTGATTATGCTGGTCAGACCGTATCCAGAACGGACTGTATTTGGACTGGGGTGGGAAGGGGCATGCATATTAAGGTCATTGGCAACTGGAATGTGAGCAGGACTGGCAGCTCTCTGCAGATGCCATTGTGAGGAGCTTTAAGGGACTGAGGGGTTCCAGTTGGGAAAAGGAAAGATGGTAGAAGAGTGGATAGAAGGACACAGTCTTAACTTTTCTGTATAGGTTTTTGAGGGGCTGCTGATGTGGAAAGGGAATTGGACCTGTTTCTGCAGCTCTAGTCTCTTAGGTCTTAGTTGTCACATTTGTTCAATCAAGGATTGGATTGTTTTTCAAAGGTCTCCCTCCAGGCCATAGTCCTATGACTAACCAGACACCATGACTAGGTGTCCCTGGAAGGCAGGCCTCTCAGAGTGAGGTCCTGTTTGCAAATGGAATGTGCCAATATTGTACTTCCCAAAAGAAATGTAATATGAGCTACATGCAATCTTAGGTTTTCTAGAAGCCTCATTTTAAAAGAAATAGATGAAATTAATTCTAATAATATATTTTATTTAACCCAATATATCCAAAACTATTTCAATATGTAATAAATTTTAAAAATGGATGAGATGTTGTACATTCTTTGTTTCATACAACATCCTCAAACTCCAGTGTGTGTCTCACACTCACAGCACATCTCAGTTTGTACTAGCCATGTCTCAAGTGCTTAAGTGCCACCTGTGGCCAGTGGCTGCCATCATGGCCAGCACAGCTTTAATGGCCACGTGAGTGCTTACCATGTGCCATACCTCATGGAACGCTTTAGATCTTTTCATCCAATCCTTGCATCAGTCCTGAGACATTCCTGTTTTGTAAATGAAAAAACCAAACCTACAGGGATTATATAACTTTCACAAATCCACACAGTTAATATGCAACAAGAGCCCAAGCCAAGACAGATTTGGCTTTAAATCTGTCCATCCCCATTGTCCTTAAGCACTAGACACACTCTAGTGGGAGGGAGGTGAGATCCCTTTCATGGGACCAGATGGTTACTTATGTCTGAAGTAGAACTTTGGCAATGAATTCCACAGGCCTGGTAGGAAGTAGAAGCCCACAAGCTGTTTGTCCTCCAGCAATTCCTGAGCAAATAAACATTCTTTGTCTTTGGTGGGCGTGTTTTAATGACCAGTCATTTGGTTATTACACAGCTCCTCTAAAAAACCAGACATTCCCTAGAATTGTATATCACAATCAATTCTGAGAATATTCTTTCAAATAAGAAAGTTACTATATTTACATTTTTTAATCATCCAAAACTTTTATTTTTAGCTCAGTGTTCCTGTTTACATTGATGATGATGGCTGGAGGAAGGTGTGTAGGAAGGAAAGGACACATGGCTTTCTCAGCCACAGCCTCTTAGGAACCGTGCCATCCCCCACGTGGCTGTAATTAGTGCATTCCCAGACAGCCTGTAAATCCCCAGCAGCAAAGGGTCATGGGGCCAGAGGAAATGGTCCTCCAAAGGCTAGGGAAAAGGGAGGAAAAGAAGACACATTGTGATTGTTCTTTTCCCACAGACTTCTTATAAATAGGAAATGAGAAAAATGATGTTTACAAATGGTTTATTGGATGTTATCCTATTTTCAAAAGTAATATATTTGTAATTAACTTGGAGGGTTTCCTCTGTCATTTGGGAGTAGTTGCCCATATGCTTCAAAATGTGAAAATTTGGCCAGGCATGGTGGCTCACACCTGTAATCCCAGCACTTTGGGAGGCCAAGACGAGCAGATCACTTGAGGTCAGGAGTTCAAAGACCAGCCAGACCAACCTAGTGAAACCCCATCTCTACTAAAAATACAAAAATCAGCCTGGCCTGGTGGTATGTGCCTATAATCCCAGCTACTCAAGAGGCTGAGACAGGAGAATCGTTTGAACCCGGGAGTCAGAGGTTGCGGTGAGCCAAGATCGCGCCACTGCATTCCAGCCTAGGCAACAGAGAGAGACTCCATCTTAAAAAAAAAAAAAATTGAAAATGTTATGTTCATGTCTAAATTTTATGTTATGTGAACATTTCCTGCTAGAGTTTAGGAAGAAAAATTAGTCATTCAGTGATATCATGCAATGATTTTGAAAGAACTAAAGTTAAATGCAGTAATGGGACTACAGTAAAAGTGAAACTTCAGACATTGATTAGACCAGTGTATGTATAATTTAAACAAAGTTTTGTCTGCATTTCCTTTTTTCTTTTCTATTTATTTATTTATGAGACAGAGTCTTACTCTGTCCCCCAGGCTGGAGTGCAGTGGCAAGACTTCAGCTTACTGCAACTTCTGCCTTCCAGGTTTAAGCAATTCTCAGGCCTCAGCCTCCTGAGCAGCTGGAATTACAGGCACGTGTCACCATGCCCAGCTAATTTTTGTATTCGTAGTAGAGATGGGGTTTCACCATGTTTGCCAGGCTGCTCTCGAACTCCTGACCTCAGGTGATCCACCCACCTCGGCCTCCCAAAGTTCTGGGATTACAGGAGTGAGCCATCGCACCTGGCCCTTTATTTTCTTTTTAGAAAGAAAGCCATTTCCAATAATACTGTTTCCACCTTATGTAAAAGTGAGCAAACTTGACCATTTAGCTTTTATGTTAAAACCTTTTTACATAAGTACATAACCTGATCCCTCACTAAGAAGGGGTGGCCAATTGCTGTAAAGAACACCTATGAAAAAACACATGGTTTTCATACTTGCAGAAGATTTTTCCAGCTTTTTACTGTTTACTGAGAAGCTCTTCTGTTCTCTTCCACCTGAAGGTGAGGACCTAACCCTATTTGGAAGTTGCTCAGGCCCTTAAACACCATCCTCCAAGCTGCTATGTCAGCTGACAGCCCAAGCCTCCATAGCCCACAATGGATTTTTGCTCCCACTGGTCTTCAAACTCTTTCATAACTTTCTGATAGCAGGAAAGGTAACAGTTGGTTTGGTTCCTAAAAGCTTATGAGGTATGAAACTGGCTCAGAAGTCTAAGTCCTATTAAAGTCAGGAAATAGGAATATTAGATATCATTCCTGCACTCTGCAATGGCAGGCCATATCAGCAACACTTGTTCCTCCTGCCCACCAAAAAGTAGTCTCCGTCTAAAAAAGAAGGAAAAGGTTTTAAAGAAGAACTCTTGTGACACACTTATGCCCATGATACTGACAGTATAATCCTGCAGCATCAAGCACATACAGCCCAGACTTTGATTATCAAGCATTCATAAACTTTCAGGAGCTTTACAGCAGACCTGCTGAATATCTGCAAGAATGTTTTATGGTAAGATACTGTCCTTGAAGCTTCAGTATTGTATGTGTGTGTGTGCACTCTCTTAAGAGAACCAGATTTTTGTGCATAAGGACTACTGTTTGAAAGTCTATCTCTTTCTCTGTTTTGTTAAGGACCAAAAAGCTGATAATTGATGTGATCCGGAACCAGCCTGGGAACACACTGGCAGAAATCTTAGAGACACCAGCAACTGCGCAACAGGTAATTTGTCTTTATGTGTAAAATAATAATAGACAAGAGTCAGTTTCCTTAATAAATCTTTATGCCAAATGTTTATTATCTCAGAGAGACTGTATCTGACATGGTCCAGCAGTAAAGAATTTTATCTATCACTGTAGTGGACTGAGTTCAGCCATATATAAACCTGTATAAAATATCAGTGGGAATGAAAAAGAAAATATGGCACCAAATTCATTCCAAATATACTTTTGCCTTTCACTAGGAAGATAGTTCTGGGTTTTTCAAAGCCTTGAAATGTTCATCATAAACTTTATCACATAGTAGATGGGCAAATAAGTCAGTTGAGAGAGTTCTAGCTGACAGGATGTTGAAAAATACCTTTCACTTTTTTTTTTTTTTTTTTTTTTGGTGCTGTTCCAAAGGCATTTAGTTTATTCTCATCAGTATCACTGATATTCTCATGGTTCACATTTGCCAGTGCTGTTCCTCTCCTTACAGTAGTTAAATGTGCCATCTCACTTGGAGGCCCAGGGAGGAGTAAGGGCTCAGCCCAGGGTATTGGCACTGGCAGGGGAGGGCATTGGCACTTCACATGGACAAGGTGGGCAGCCTGTCCTGTGTGAAAGAGGTGTGGGTGAGTAGGCAGCTAGGGAAGGGGACTTGGCAGGGGAGGACCCCCACAGTCGTTCTTCTCTGGTGGTCAGTGATTCTCCATTCAGATTCCTTCCTGGCTGCACAGGGTGGGAGAACCATGCAGCTCAGGGCAGGGCAGGGGAGGAGGAGAAAGAAAAAGCAGCAGGCCACAAGGGGGAGGGGTGGGGATGAATGACAAGGCAACTGCGGGACAGAGATGGCTCCTGGGGTAAAACACAATCCTGTATTTGGCTCTCCTGGTGAGGAGTTTCCTCCCCTGCACCCCCTGCCTGGCCCTTCTTCCTCCTCCGACCCCCAGACCCACACACAGTCCTGGGAGCCAGGGGACACCTCCTGGGGTCCCTGAAGCAAGGGACTCTGCCACCCAAGCCAGTGCCACAGGGGCTCAAGGAGGGACACCTGAAAAAAAGGCAGGGGCAGGCAGGGGCCTACCCAGGACAAGGGGGTGGAGCAGAGAAGACCCCAGGCCCAGGAGCTGTCCCCAAATAAGGTTTGGAAGTAGGAGTACCTGCTTCCTTTTGGGGGATCTGGCTAGAGCCCTGGCCGGCCCCTCAGCCTCCACTGGGTCCAGCCAATTGCCAAGTGACCAGGGCATTATGCTTTGGGCTCAATGCTGGAGTGGGGACCTTTCACATTTTCTGTATTTACTAACTTGAAATGAAGAAGCATCTCACATGTTAAAGATGTTTTCCAAATGCTTCAGAAGCACATGCTGAGTCCACTAAAGCACACAGCATCACTATGTTAGTGTAAGTAAGGTTTCACAACAATCTTGCCTTTAGCTTTTTATTAACATCTTTGAAAATGTGTCGTTGTTCATCCTAAAATATATTCAAGGTTGTTAATTTTAGTACCAATAATTGCCACTCCCGAAACAAAGTGAATTATTTAATTAATTACTTATTAGCAGAGCTACACAGAATTTTCCTGAATCATTCTTAATTTAATTGATTGCCAAGGAATCCTTTTAATGATTTTTAATATAAAAAAGGCTGGGCGCAGTGGCTTATGCCTGTAATCCCAGCACTTTGGGAGACTGAGGCGGGCAGATCATGAGGTCAAGAAATCGAGACCATCCTGGCCAACATAGTGAAATCCCATATCTACTAAAAATACAAAAATTAGCTGGGCGTGGTGGCGTGCACCTTAGTCCCAGCTACTTGGGAGGCTGAGGCAGGAGAATTGCTCGAACCCGGGCGGTGGAGGTTGCAGTGAGTCAAGATCGCGTCACTCCAATCCAGCCTGGCGCCTGGCGACAGAGTGAGACTCTGTCTCAAAAAAAAAAAAAAAAAAAAATTTATATATATATATATATATATAAAAGACCAGACATGGTGGCTCACATCTGTAATCCCAGTACTTTGGGAGGCTGAGATGTATAGATCACTTGAGCCCAAGAGTTCCACACCAGTGTGGGCAACACAGTGAGACCCCCATCTCTAATTTTTAAAATGTTTTAATAAAAAATGTAAAAACTTCACATCACATGCTTGTTAATGTGTGAATATGTTTTAAACAATGTGGGTAGAATATTATACTAGGTTAGTGTAAAAGACTTTTACTGCTATTTTTCATTTTTCCCTAAATGTGTCATGAATAAGTGACCAAGAACACAGACTTCTGAGATCAAGTATACCTCTGCGTCTCCTGGGTGTGCAACTCTGGGCACTTAGAAACATTTCTGTGCCACAGTTTTCTCAACTATAAAATGGGAATAGTAATAGTACCCAGTTCACAGGCAGGATTAAGTGAGTTAAAACATGTTAAGTGGGTACATTCGTATCTGTGCACATTCAGTGCTCAACAACGTTGGATGCTGCTTTTGTTATTTACTGCTAACCTGGTAATGATATTCCTGCGCCCATTGTGTTGACCTGTATGTATGTCTAACATTGCTGTGCCTAACTAATAGTCATTTCCTTACTTTGACTTCATCTACTGGGTCAGTCAGTTGTCTAGTATGATAAAATGGGAAGATCAATAGTCTCTTTTTATTACTGTTTCCTTCAACCAGCTATCCAAATAGTATTCTATTCATTCATTCATTCATTTCCTCGTTGTTTGGGAACTTACGATGTGCTAGAATATTCTTATTCCTTTTGGCTCAAAGAAACTTTGCAGGTTTTTCAGAGTTGCTGGTTTTTGATTCCCTTGTAAGAATAAAGCTTTATGACTGCCTTAATGTTGGTTTCGTTTAGGACTCTCCATAAACATGGCTGATGTGTGAGAATATAGTTGGTGTTCTGAGCTTTCAGGGTTCTCATAGCCACATTTCAATAGATAATCTAGTTTCATTTCCTCAGATAGACTGTCCAGGAATTGAAATCCTTTTATCTGGGGAATTACAAAGTAGCAGTTACCCATTAAAATATGTCCATTACTATGGTGATTTGTCACCTTGGCAATAAAGTAGCTATTTATAATTTTTCCCAGATAAGGCTTGCTATCAAAAAGACGAAGTAATTCCTTTCAAAGACCTACTTCAACACTCAGGAAGAACATGTTCTGGTTCTAGTCTTGGAACTTTGGCTGGAGGACTTCTTTCATTTTGACATTAACTTGTATTGTGCAGCTTCTGCAGTGTGAGCTTAGGGGATCGGAGAAAAGTCAGCATCTTGATATTCTCATTTCAGGAGGTAGATCATGCCTCGGACATGGTGAGCCGCACAAGGATAGATTCCAGAACTCCAGAAGAAATGAAACATAGCCAGTCTATGATTGAAGATGCACAGCTGCCTCTTGAGCAGAAGAAGAGGAAAATCCAGAGGAATCTTCGGACATTGGAACAGACTGGACATGTGTCATCCAAAAATAAATACCAAAACATTCTCAATGAGATTGCCAAGGTTTTTGGAAACAGTATTCTTTCTTCCTCAATTAGCAGACATTTGCTAATCATCAGTCAAGTGCTGGGCACTCTGTGAGGTGGCATGAGGAATTCATAGTTGCATATGCTGTGGTTCATGCAGTCTTCAATGTTACAGATTTTTAAAGTTTCAAAGCAGTTGATGACTTTTAAGAGAAAATAATTACAACACTTTCAAGTCATCAAGAGAGTTGAAACAAATCAGAAGTATTCAAAAATGTACTTGACAAGTTTGGTCTATACCTTTAAGCTAGTTTTTTTTGTTGTTGTTTTTTTATTTTGTTTTGTTTTTTGAGACGGAATTTCGCTCTTGTTACCCAGGCTGGAGTGCAATGGCGTGATCTCGGCTCACTGCAACCTCCACCTCCGGGGTTCAGGCAATTCTCCTGCCTCAGCCTCCTGAGTAGCTGGGATTACAGGCACGCGCCACCATGCCCAGCTAATTTTTTGTATTTTTAGTAGAGACGGGGTTTCACCATGTTGACCAGGATGGTCTCGATCTGTTGACCTCATGATCCACCTGCCTCGGCCTCCCTAAGCTAGATTTTAAAATAACTCTTGGAAGAGTTTTCTCCTGAGATATCAGTTGTCATATAGCTCAGTTGCTCTTAGAACCTGCCATTGAGATGGAATTCAGTGTTCCTGAGAATTTGTTTTTAAGCAGTTTAACATAAATGCCATTCAAGCAATTCTCTGCTAAAGGTTCTGTTTTCTTATCCCATATTTTTACACTTGAGAAACTTCCTGAGCAAAGGATCTCAACTTAGTGCAATGAAGCATCACAGGAAGTGGCTGAGATCTGTTTGTCAAGGATAAGGAAGTATATATTTGGGTTAGAAGGCTATTTCATTCTTTTTATTCAAACATGCAAATTAATACAGATCCAGAGGTTAAAGGCAGTTAAATGACCAGAAAAAAAAAATAAATTTTCTCACCTTCTGGGAAGGAAATGCACTCAGCTTTGTTACTCTATAGAAAGTTATGTTCAATTCTAGCAGTAGGCTTTTTCCTTCTAGCCCAAGTGACTCAAGAGAAATAGCATGTCTTTCTTTAGGTTTGGGGTAGAAATGTTTCTCTTTGGGAATATGGGGTAGAGAAATATATGCTTTTGCTTTAAAAAAGAAAAAGGCTATCATGAAGGCATGATATTCTATTAAATGAAGATTATGTGAAGTATTTCTATTTAATGAAGAATTCTATTTAACAAAGAATATTCTATTCTAAATATTTAATGAAGAATTTTTACTTAAAGGCATGGGAAAGTTGTGGGGGCAGTATATGTGTATGTGGGTATTTCTTTGAATTCCTAGGGGAATGATTTTTAATTTGTCTACAAAAGCAAAATAATATTAAACAGGCACCATTTTCTTAAGTCAAACATTTTAATAACTTACCAATTAGAATTACCAAAAAAAACTTATCTGCAAGTTTAAATTTAGCATAGTTCTTATACGCTATAAGCAGCTTATGCAACTTAATGTTCAACAGGAATTCTATTTAAATCCAAGTAATAGTTGTCAATGCTGAATCTTTTCACTCTGTCTTAAAGGCCAGTGTTGTTTTTTCTCACACCTTGAGAAATATTTGTCAGATGAAAAAGTTTGTTCATTTCTTATTTCAAAAATGAATTCAACAATTAAATGTAAACCTTTTTAGTTTAAAGTGCTATTCAAAGAGGAATATTCAAAATAGTCTGAAGAGGCTAGGCACAATGGCTCATCCCTGTAATCCCAGCACTTTGGGAGGCCAAGGTGGGGAGATCACTTGAGGTCAGGAGTTCAAGACCAGCCTGGCCAATATGGTAAGACCCCATCTCAACTAAAAATACAAAAATTAGCCAGGCATGGTGGCATAGACCTGCAGCCCCAGCTACTCAGGAGGCTGAGGCAGGAGAATCGCTTGAGCCTGGAAGCAAAGGTTGCAGAGATCAGGCCACTGTACTCCAGCCTGGGTGACAGAATGAGACTCTGTCTCAAAAAACAAAAAAAGTCTGAAGAAATTGGATTTCTTCTGCTTTGTGCCCATTTTAAAACACAATTTTTCACTGGGCACAGTGGCTCATGCCTGTAATCCCAGCACTTTGGGAGGCCCAGGCGGGCAGCTCACCTGAGGTCGGGAGTTCGAGACCAGCCTGACCAACATGGAGAAACCCCGTTTCTACTGAAAATACAAAAATTAGCTGGGTGTGGTGGCACATGCCTGTAATCCCAATTACTTGGGAGCGCTGAGGCAGGAGAATCTCTTGAACCCGGGAGGTGGAGGTTGTGGTGAGCTGAGATCATGCCATTGAACTCCAGCCAGGGCAACAAGAGCGAAACTCTGTCTCAAAAAAAAAAAAAGAAAGAAAAAAACCCACACAATTTTTCCTTAAGCTAAATGTGTGATTATTCTAAAATAACTTTTTTGCTTTTCCATCAAGAGAAAAATTAACATTAACAAGTCTCTTAACGTGAAATATGTACACTTTTCAGTTCTGAAGTAAACAAAAGATGGGAACCCTGTGGTATTGAGAGTGAAATAAGGTACCTGAGATAAGCTACCAGTCAAGTTACAAATAGCAACTTACTGTTACTTGATAATCTTCTTGTTCCAAACTGGCAAAATCATAAAGCAAACCTCTGCTTAAATATGATAGCCCTTACTTGTTGTTTTAGGATATTCGAAATCAAAGAATCTATCGTAAGCTTCGAAAAGCTGAATTGGCAAAACTTCAGCAGACCCTGAATGCACTGAACAAGAAGGCAGCATTTTATGAAGAGCAAATCAATTATTATGACACCTACATAAAGACTTGTTTAGACAACTTAAAGAGAAAGTAAGTTAAAAATCACGTCATGTTCCTTTGTAATGTTGTAATTTATATGCGATGTCAATTCTGCATATCTAGTCTGTTGGGTTGGGTTTGGAAGAAAATTTTTTGCTGTCTTATGACCAAAAACTAGTCTCAGTTTTATTATTTGTCACTTCGAACTAAGAAGTCAGGAGTAAACGGACGCTTTTCAGTTTTCCACCAGCACTAGAATTAAAGTGGCTTACCTGTTGTATATTAAGCAAATAGCATTCGTAGTTGGGGAAGCACTTTTTGTTATTTCTTTTGTCTTTTTTAGTCAAAGATTTTTTAAAATGGTATTATTTTTTAAATCTTTTTTGAAATGTATTTTATATAATTGATAATGCCAGATATTTACTAATTGCGCAGAGCAGCTGAATGTTTTTAAATTGTTTAATGGTTTTAAAAAATTATTATTGACAAAACTGTCAAAATTTGGCAGCTATTATCCATTAGCATAAGTATTATAGATTTTTATATACAGCATAAACATTTTTAATGAATATCCTTTGCTTAGTAATTATTCTTACTACTAGACTATGATCAAGGCTAGTTAAATTTTGATTACCTATTTAAATATGCAACAATATTTTTATATAATCCTTATCAAATTGGCAGGAGGAAATGGTGCTGTATGGAAAAATCTGTTGCATTTATCATAGATCTTTTAAATTGTATTGCAAATTGACTATAATTTTATGCATTCATGAGGTACAAGGTGATGTTATCATTTATTATTACAATGTGGAATAATTAACATATTCATCACCTCAACTACTTAAGTTTCTGTGATGAGAACACCTGAAATTTACTGCTAGCAGTTTTCAACTGTACAATACACCATTATTAGCTATATTCACCACACTGTGCAATAGATTCCAAAAAAAAACAGATTCCTCCTAAGATTTCCCCCACCCTCCAGCCTCTGTAACCACCATTCTATTCTGCTTCTATAAGTTCAACTTTTTCAGATTCTACAAATAAGTGAGAACATGTGGTATTTGCCTTTCTGTGCCTGGCCTATTTCACTTAGTATAATGTCCTCCAACTCTATCCACATTGCCCCAAATGACAGAATTTCTTTCCTTTAAGGCTGAATAATATTCTTCTGTGTATACATATACGACATTTTCTTTACCCATTCATCTGTTAGTAGATTCTTGGGTTGACTTCATAACTTTGCTCTCGTGTGAGCAGTGCTGCAGCAAACATTGGAGTACAGACATCTCTTTGACAAACTGGTTTCAAATCTTAGACTAAACACCCAGTTGGATTGCTGAAATCACGGAAGATTTCATAAAGTGATGTAACTACATTTAATTTGCTTTGGGTCTCTCTCTCTCTCCATATATACACACATACACACACACACACACACACACACATACATATTTATGTATATATATATATGCACACACGCACAGAGTAGACTATATATACACACAGTATATAATGTGCACATACATTTACAATTATACAATATGCTAAATATATACATTATATAGTATATAGTGTATATATACTATACACTAAATAAATATATATAAATAGGAAGGAATGAAAATATATATACATTCATAGAGTATATATATTTTATATAAATTTATTTATATATGATTTATATTTTACATACTTTATATATTAATTTAATTTAATATATATTTGTATACAATTTATATATTTATATGGTGTATATATTCTTCCTTCTGCAAGGAAGAAGTTGGTCAAGCTTATCTTCAGTAGAAATGAGGTTGTTAGGGATTTACTTTAAGGCATTGTACACAAGATCCACAGTCAGATGATTTGGATTTGGGTTCTCATTCTCTCTTATATTGTGTAATCTTCAGCCCAGTTCAGTGAACTTTGAGCCTCAGTTTTCTCATCTTTAAGGTGGAATTAAGAGTACCAGCCTTGCCAGCTTGGCTGACATGATGAAACTCCTTCTCTACTAAAAATACAATAATTAGCCAGATGTGCCATGTGCCTGTAATCCCAGCTAGAGGTTGAGGCAGGAGAATCACTTGAATCCGGGAGGCGGAGGTTGCAGCCAGGATCACGCCACTGCACTTGAGACTGGGCAACAGAGCAAGACTCCGTTTCAAAAAAAATCTCTCCCCCCTGAAAATCAAATAGTACCAGACTCACAAGTATGGTTATGAGAGCTACATGATATAGTATATAGTGAAAGCATTTATTAGTTTCAAAGCACTATGGAAATGTGAGGTAATATTTATAAGGCACTTAAAACAATGCTCGCCATATAGTGTTTGTTAAATAGATTAAAACAGTCCTAGTAATATCTTTATGTAGGAATACACAGTTCATGTTATTGCACCAAAGCTACTTCTGAAATGACTAAAGATAGCCACTTAGTTCAGTATGCCTGAGAAAATAGAGTGTAAGTTTTATTAAAAATGTTAGTCCGTAATGCAGACTTCAGTCACTTGGGAAATCCCTTTCCCCTCAAACAGTTTAGTAGTGAAGTTTTACTCTATGGACAAAATTACCTACTATCACAAAATAAAAAGGTGTACCTTCAGTGCTTTGAGGCCCAGGTATGAACAGCAGTGTCATTCTGGGTATGGTAATTGCACTGCCAGAGGCATCTGCATTTGCCATCCTAACAACTGGTCTTTTCTTATTTTGTCAGAAATGCTCGGAGATCAATTAAACTAGATGGAAAAGGAGAACCCAAAGGGGCGAAGAGAGCGAAGCCAGTGAAGTACACTGCAGCAAAACTACATGAAAAGGGTGTCCTGCTAGGGATAGATGATCTTCAAACAAACCAGTAAGTGTGGCCTGGAATCTGCACAGAACACACATGCCATTTGATTTCTTGTGCCCCTGGAGAGAGCTCCATTTGGTCAAGCAAGGCTTAACCTTGATTACTGATGGGTGACAAGGGACGAATACACAAATTCTCATGGCTCCTCTTCCCTTGGCCTCAGCATCTGGTACTATCGATCATATGTAGTGTTGACCAGTGGTTGTCTTTCCCATGGCTTGTCCAGTGTGTTTGGATTTGTGAACCTCCAGAACTGAGTCATAGCAATGAGAATAAAAGCCTGTCCTTTGGTCTTGATGGATGAATTATCTACCATCACAAAACAGCACCTCTCCAATTTAAAATAGACTGTGCCAACCCCTGGGTCAGAGCCATTTCCAAAGCATGCTGTGAGTGTGCATATTCAATGTGGTGGAGAAAACAAACCACCTTCACAGCCCCACATCAGGCACCATGTACTGCCTCATTTTAAAGGGATCATAAGCCCAGTGTTCCATCACTCCCTTGTCCTAAAATCTCAAGGGAAGCCAGACTCACTGGCATTTGCCTCTTCTTTGACTCTTGCCTTCCTTTGAAGCCTGGCTTCTGTTTATCCCATGAAACCTCTTGACAACACCAATTCAGAAGAAAGTGCTTCTTCCTATTTTGAAGTTTCTTTTTTTTTTTCTTAATTTGAGGTGGAGTCTCGCTCTGTCACCCAGGCTGGAGTGCAGTTGGCATGACCTCAGCTCACTGTAACCTTTGCCTCCCGGGTTCAAGCAGCCTCCTACATCAGCCTCCCGAGTAGCTGGGATTACATGGCACCTGCCACCATGCCTGGCTAATTTTTGTATTTTTAGTAGAATCGGGGTTTCACCATGTGGCAAAGCTGGTCTCAAACTCGTGACCTCAAGTGATCCACCTGCCTCAGCCTCCCAAAGTGCTGGGATTATAGGCATGAGCCAAGATGCACGCCTGAAGTTTCTAAAAAGTAACCATTTGAAATACTCATTTGGCTATAGATCAATAACATTCATGTTCTGTGACTCACATATTTTCAACTATCTTATGCTCCTTAAGAGGAGGACCATATCTTCTATTTCTTTTGTCATAAAGCACCTATGTCAGAACTTTGTGAGCTGCAGATCTCAACAACAGCCATCAAACCTAGTGCTTGGAGAGCAAATTGGGGGAAAGGTGATGTGAGGATCCTTAGGATTTTCTTAACAAGCCATTCACTAAAAATGATTATTTGGGATTCCATTAACTTGTTGCAGCGTTAAGCACATCTGTATTTGGAATTTCACATATATGAATGTTCCTTTCTTCACAGGTTTAAGAATGTTACATTTGATATTATAGCTACTGAAGATGTAGGCATTTTCGACGTAAGGTCAAAATTCCTTGGTGTTGAGATGGAAAAGGTGCAACTCAATATTCAGGTAAGCTGCTGGAATTTCTTTATCCACACTGATGGTAAGTAAATGTTATATGTGGATCATACATTGCTATCCTGGCTCTCCCTCTTCATGACAACAATAAAGTTTAACAGAAGAGCAGTGCCAGCCTTTTTTGCCAATATTTGTTAAGTGCTGATGATGTTTAAAAGCTGTAACTTTTCAACCGGGCGTGGTGGCTCACGCCTGTAATCTTAGCACTTTAGGAGGCCGAGGTGGGTGGATCACCTGAGGTCATGAGTTCAAGACTGGCCTGGCCATCATGATGAAACCCCATCTTAAAAAAAAAAAAAAAAAAGGCTGTGACTTTTCAAATGATTGCAAATTAACATGCTTCTAGCTGGCAAACCATAGTAGTCAGTTTCTCTAAGCCACGTTTCCTGTTTAAAGCTTAGACAAAAGAGTATAAGTATTCCGAGCTATTAAATACATGCTATAAATTTTCCTTTAATTGGAAACTTGTGTTTCTTTCTAAGACTATGTATGCCAAAGACTGCAACTTTCATGATCTCATTTCTCCCTCTTTCCTAGAATGGATTTTCTTTTTTGTGGGGGAAGGGTGTGGGGGTGGGGCATTGAGACAACTCTGTCATCCAAACTGGAATGCAGTGGCACAGTCATGGTTCACTGCAGCAGCCTCAACCTCCTGGGCTCAAGCGATCCTTCTGCTTTAGTCTCTCAAGTAGCTGGGACTACAGGCATGCACCACCACATCTGGCTAATTTTTGTATTTTTTGTAGAGACACGGTTTCACCGTGTTGCCCAGGATGGTCTTAGATTCCTGGGCTCAAGTGATCTGCCTGCCTCAGCCTCCAAAAGTGCTGGGATTACAGGTATTAGCCACCATACTTGGCCCCTAGAATAGTTTTTACGTCTATTTATTAAATCTATTTGTTAAATGTTTGGGGTCACAGGAATGAAAGGCATTATGCAAGACAGATATCTATAAATAATAGAAAAATTATGTTTGCAATATGAATTATCATTATTTTCTCATAAGAGCCACATTTAAGCCAAGTACACATAAATGAAAACTGAGAAATCTAGTTTCTGTGAAAAAAGAAAAGAAAAAGAGGGCAGTGCAAACAAATGTTCATCTACCCCAACTTCTTAATCTTTAGCACAAAATCAATTTAAAGAAGTAATTGAATTTTTCTTTTTTGATGTAACACTTTTTAAATGGAAATAACATCTATTTACCTGGGCCCCAACCTACTTATAAAATGGTTTCCAGATATTCTGCCTATGTTTACATGAGTCATCTCACTAAGATCCTGAAAGTGATGTGAATTCTGGCCTCACTGTCTGCTCAGCCCATGGATTAACTCCCCATCATGGGAGCATATGCCAGAGCTCTTCTTTTCTGGCAGCCCTTGTAATTTTAAAAAGAAAAATGGAGCTGAATGGATTTGATAAGAACATTGAGATAATGGAGTAAATTAGAATTCCAAGATAAGATGAAAGCTGTTATGTAATTATGGAAAGCATAATTAAGTAAACAGTATTGTTTTCTAACTTACTTTAAATGTCACTAAATGTATCCATTTAACAATTTAGCTAATTAGGGTCTTCAGTCACCTTGTGTAACAGATAAATATAGGAAGAGAAAAGAAAATGCTTGTGGTGATACCCTTTAGTTAGTGATTCCTCTGTAGAAATAGTAAAAGACATATTATGTATTGCCAAGAAGGAAATGATACAGGGACAGTCAATATCAACTGGACCAATGAGTCACAGATGACCAGGAGACACCTTATATTGTGTTTAGAGAGAAAGCAGGAATTCCATAAGACTTCATACTGGGACAAAAACCAAGTTTCACTTGTTCCTCTGTTAAGAATTTAGATTAGCTGTTCACACCATTCATTTATACACATCATGGATTGTGAAATGTTAATCCTTAGCTATATGGAGGTGACTAATATGTCTTGGATTGTTCAAGTCAGTAGCACATAATCAGAACTGGCTACATCATTAGCAGGGCTCAGAGCAAAATAAAAATGTAGCACCCTGTTTTTAAAATTACTAGGGATTTTAGGATGATGACAGAAGAGAATAAAACCCCAGGAGGAATGGGGCCCTGTGCAGCTGCACAGACTGCACACCCGCGGAGCCAGCCCTGCATTTGATAGCTGTCAGATGTAAAGGCAGACTTCTATTTAGATAGGCAGCTTTCAGTCAATTGCATGAATGTGGAAATTGCCAAGGAGAAATGTGATGGCCAAGTCTTCACTGTGAGTAAAAGACCGGGAACAGGACTAAAGTTTAAAAGGACTAAGGAAAGTCCCTTCTGACATTACAGCTCTATGTCTCTTGGTTGTCTTCTGCCCATTCTCCCTTCAGTTCCTAAAGAAAACTGTAGGACAGAATTATATCCTGTAACTATAGGTCTTATATGTAACAGGAAGGTATGACTTATATGATACATGTTCTGCTTATAAAAATAATATCAGGAGCTGCAGGGTGGGCCTTCTTCCTTTCCTAGAAGAACTGAGGTTCAAGAAAGCTAATTATGGAAGAGGCAGCGGGGATCCAAGTTCTTCATCACTCTAGTCCACTGCCTGTCTCAAAGGATTCCAGTAGATCCTGCAAGACAACAGTAGCTTACAAAGGGTTTGCATATACCTTAATCTCATGTCTCATTCCCAGTAGCACCTCTGTGAAATTGGCAGTATTATTCCCAATTTACACACAAGGAAACAGAACTTCAGAGAAGTTATGTCATGTTGCAAGGTCTTAAGATAGCAAATGGCAGAGCTAAAACTAAGGTCTGCTTTTCAAATTATGAGTGCAGCCATGTTTTCTCTGCTCCCTACTTTGGGGACCCAGCTTACTTCCCCGACATATGCCATTCCTTTTCAATCTAACTCTATTGGTTTAATTCCTTTCCAAGAGACTTTGTTTACCAGATGTTGCATTTCCCAGAGGAAAAGTGAATCTCCTCTACACTCTTAATAGCTAAAAGCATTATTGATGAAAGGACTTCAATTCCCTATAGGATTTTAGTTCTAGAAGCATATCTGAATAATGTAGGGATTTACTTGAGTGGAGTTAGAGGTAATTGAGGAAGTGGAGGAGGAAGCTGTCAAGAGTCAAAGTTCTCTCAAAGATGACTCCAACTTCTATAGTTGACTTTCGAGAAACAAAAAAATGAGACCTAGATATTGTGCCAGGACAGTTCAAGAATGATATCTTCCATTAGGAAAGGCTTCCTGTACTTGTATTACTATGAAATGTTACAGCTTAGTTTCATGCATATGGCAGTGTGACCCAGTTATTATTTCTAAAAGAGAGTTGATTTCCTTTGTTTATAAGCTGGCAGTGAAAAACAGAATGATAGTCCAAGTTAAGAATGAGGGCGTGTTCTCAGTACAGAAACAGAAGTAGTCTAGATCAAGAAGTACAGACCACTGCTTAGTACAATGGTCCCCAAACTTTGGTCACACAACTTCATCAGGAAATAGTATGAGCACTTTTCTCCCTATATACATACTTATTTGTAAAGTATACACGCTTCTGCTGTTGTACTCTAAAATGTGCTTTATAAAATATATACAAAAATTAAATATCCAAAAAATGAGAAGAAATAAATAGAAATAGGAGTTGTAATATTATTTTTGCCTCTCCAGGGAATTTTCTTGCTCACTTCACTATAGAAAACACTGCTTTTTATGTTTATTTTATTTTATATATATATTTTTTTTTTTGGAGACAGAGTCTTTCTCAGTTGCTGAGGCTAGAGTGCAGTGATGCAATCTCGGCTCACTGCAACCTCCACCTCCCAGGTTCCAGCAAGCCTCCTGAGTAGCTGGGATTATAGTGTGCACCACCACACCCAGCTAATTTTTGTGTTTTTAGTAGAGATAGGGTTTCGCCATGTTGGCCAGGCTGGTGTCACTCTTCTGACCTCAAAGTGATCTATCCACCTCAGCCTCTCAAACTCCTAGGATTACAGGAATGAGCCACCACATGCAGCCAGAAAACACTGCTTTCTAAAGAATATGCATCTAGGCCAGGTGCAGTGGCTCAGCCTGTAATCCCAGCACTTTGGGAGGCTGAGGCAGGTGGATCACGAGGTCAGGAGTTTGAGACCAGCCTGGCCAAAATTGTGAAACCCTATCTCTACTAAAAACACAAAAATTAGCTGGGCGTGGTGGTGCACACTATAATCCCAGCTACCTGGGAGGCTGAGGCAGGAGCATCACTTGAATCCAGGAGGCAGAGGTTGCAGTGAGCCGAGATCGGGCCACTGCACTCTATCCTAGGTAGCAGAGCAAGACTCAGTCTCAAAAAAAAAAGGAATATGCATCTAGCCAGAACTTTGTGTTTTGAAATTTTCAATTAAAAATTGAAGTTATAATTATATATCTGACATTAACTTAACAATCATCATTTTCTTTCATATGGCCCTTATCAATTCTAAAAAACTATTTTCTTTCATCAAAGTCACAATCACTTGGGAATGTATTAAAATGCAAACTAATGGGTCCCACCAGAGAGCTACAAAGTCAGAAATTTCTGGGGAGGAGCCCAGGCAGCCTTTATTTTAACTAGCCTGTGTTTAAACCAGATGATTCTGATGTACACTAAAGTTTTAGAACCCCCACGTATGGCATGGTGCCATGGCATGCGCCTGTAGTCCTGGCTACTCAGGATGCTGAGATGGAAAGATCGATTAAGCCGGAGTTTAAGGCCAACCTGGGCAACATAGTTAGACCCCATCTAGGTGATTAGTTCAATTGAATCTGCCTTTTATCAACAAATTCTTCTAATATATTTTTTAAATGCACAAAATGCCAAAGCTAAGATTTAATGATGCTTTTTACAATTTCAGGATTTACTTCAGATGCAGTATGAAGGAGTAGCTGTAATGAAAATGTTTGATAAGGTTAAAGTGAATGTAAACCTTCTCATATACCTGCTGAACAAGAAATTCTACGGAAAGTAAAGTGCCTGCAGAAATGTCATGGATTCTATATCATCTGGATTAGGAAATGAATTTGTTTAATATTTTTGTTTTAAAACATGATTGAAATCACCACTTATTATAAATGTGTGATTTTTTAAAATGGTCAAAACTGTTCTGAAGAATGTACCCATGTGCCTTTTTGATAATTTGATACTATTATAGATTCATACATAAAATGAATTAATGTAAACACATCCACACTGTACTGTGGTATAGGTACTCTGATTTAAAACTTTGGACATCCTGTGATCTGTTTTAAAGTTGGCCGGGTGGTGGTGGGGATTTAGCTGACTAGGGACAAACATGTAAACCTATTTTCCTATGAAAAATTTTAAATGTCCCACTTAAATAATGTAATTCTTCATAGATTTTTTTTGATCTGTGGATAAATGGAAACCTAATTATTTGTAATGAATTATTTAGACAGATAGTTCTAAGCCCTGTCTTCTGGGAGTTATCAATTTTAAGGAGAACTTTTGTGCAATTCAAAATGAATATTTTATAAGTAATTGAAAATGACAACACAATAACACTTTCTGTATAAAAGTATATATTTTGTGTGATTTATTCCTACTAAATAAAAGTGCACTACTGCCTCATGTAAAGACTCTTGCACGCGGAGCCTTTAAGTGACTAAGGAGCAACACGGATAGTGAGCATAGTCCCCGCCTCCACCCCTCACAATTTATTTGAATACTTCAATTGTGCCTCTCAATTTTTTGTAATGCTAAAAAATCAGTATCTAGCTGGTTTTTAAATGTATTCTCTGGAAATTGTTTTATGTAAAATAAATGTTACTTAATTACATTAATTTGGCTTTTAAGTTGTCTTAATAAATCAAAGTCATTTAGTGGGTAGGGGATGATTCTTGGTGGGGTTTCTCAGGAAATAATACAACTCTTGCTGTACTGGTTAGGATATAAAGCAAGCTGCTAAAAAGGAAAGATACAAAACCCTGGTGGCTAAAACAAGGGGTACAAGTTTGTTTTTCTCAAATTCAGCTCAAAGGTGAGCAGATCTACCAGGTAAAGAGTTACAGGCGGGTCAGTTGGCTCTGTCCTTGTACTGATTCCCCAAGACAGATAAGGATGGGAAAGAAGTCCAGGGCAAGCCTTTTCAGTTATATATATCACTTTCACTTCCACTTACATCATAGTGGCCAAAACTGAGTCACATGGACACAGCTGGCTAAAGATAGTCCCTAACTAGGCAGCCATGTAGCCAGCGAATACAAGGGGTAGAGAGGAAATTGGGTATGTTATTAAAAGGAAGAAAAGGAGTGTGATTCCTGCTGACAGTTTAGCAGTCTCCACCACAATAGGAATCCAGACTCTCAGGCCAGAACCTCCCTGCCACTTTGTTCATGCCTTCAACAGGCTTTATTTTTTCACAAATTGCAAAATATTGAGAAAGTAGGTTAGTTTATGCTCATGTGGCACAAATGAACTTTAAGACCAACAGAATTTGGAAAATTCAAATTTTAAAAAAAAGTAGAATCTGCTACTTTAGTGATGGTTTCAGGCTATATTTGTATTTTTGACAAAGAGATGAATGGCATAAAACAATGCTCACTATCTCAACAGTTTGTGGGTATGTATGTTTTTTAATGCATTGGCCTTAATATAGGCTTTGGTAAAAGGGATCAAATATATGGTTAAGTTTCACATTGAAAATAAACCTCCCAGCCGGGCGTGGTGGCTCCCACCTGTACTTTGGGAGGCCAAGGCAGGTGTATCACTCGGTCAGGAGTTCAAGACCAACTTGACCAACATGGTAAAACCCCATCTCTACTAAAAATACAAAAATTAGCTGGGCATGGTGGCACACACCTGTAATCCCGGATACTGAGGAGGCTGAGGCAGGAGAATCGCTTGAACCTGGGAGACGGAGGTTGCAGTGAGTTGAGATTATGCCTTCGCACTCCAGCCTGGGTGACAGAGAGAGACTCTGTATTTAAAAAAATGAAAAGAAACCTCCCTCTTGTCCTACTGCATTGAAGAGTAGGGAACAGGAGTCAGGGGCAAAAGGGGGCTGGGTAGGCTTCCTTCTTGTTCCAGGTAAGTCTTTTAGTGAAAATGTATAGAAGGAGCCAAAATTAGGGAGCAATGTTTGGAGGCAAAAGCCAGCCTTTCCCAGCATCTCTGAAAGGAGCTTGTTAACTTATTCCAACACTGAATGATACACTTGAATGTTATTCATATGCATAAAGGTACTTGCATCATGTCAATACCTTCAAGGACCACTGTAAATGTTTTCTCTGTTGGTCTACAAAATGGGGTTATTGTTGAAGATATCACCAGTTGCTATTTGTGTGAGATCTCTAAGCGGTATGAATGAGTGGGTGACCCCAAGAAGCAGGCTCATGATGAAGGAGCAAAAACGAGGCCATGGGGGCATGGGTGTGGCAGACTTCAGTTTAGAGAGATTTGCTGAAGCCAAGGAAGACCTCTGTCACTCTTAAGAGGACTAACCTACCCCTCAAACCAGAGGACAATTCCTGATAACCCTGAGCCACTAAGTACTCCAACTTCCTACCAGAGCCCATAGATTTTCTTACTCAATGGAAAATATTTTTTGTTGTTTTGGTTTTTTGTTTGTTTTTGCTTTTAAACACTGAGCAGTTGGAACCATAACTTATTTTTGCAAAACTGACTCCTGTATTTTGATTGCTTTGATTGTAAAAGCAAAAAGTACTTATGTAACACTTCAGGTGCTCTCAAAGGATACTGATCTTCAAGAGAGGGAAAACATGTCTCTGCTTTAATCTGGAAGTTAGTGTTGAAGAAAGACCAGCTTGATGTGACAGTTGTCTGATAGGAATGATCCGAACTATAATTACATGTTGATGTTTGTGTTTGTCTGGGCACAAATTAGAGATGCTATTCATCATGTGATTTTTATGACTTTGTCATTAAGTAGGGATTTGTGGTATTCCTCAAACATTCCAAGAGGCAAACCACAGAACTGAATGGTGGAAGTTGTCTTTATTTTGAAAAATTATAGTGAACACTAGATGTTCTTACTGCTGGCTAGCTTTTTGAAAAATCTATTGCCAATGTTACTAAAACCAAACCTGGTAACAGGTTACAATAGAGGCCCCCTAAGCCTCGGAGGACAGAAGCTGTGTTTCAGTGACTCTAAATCTGGAGCCTGGCAGTGATTTGTAAATAAATGACAGGTGCAGACGTGGGTTCTAGCAATGGATTGAAAAGCAGACAGACCCCACCACCCCACTGCCCCTCAGGAGTTCACTATGACTTTAGGTTAGTGCTCATATGAATGGGGCTTTTACTGATTATCTCAGTCTAAAAGTGAGTATCCTCTCAATTCAATCTCCAAATAAAGTATCCTATTCAGATTTACTAGGTTGCCTCACTGTCTTTCTTAGAGTATAAAATCTTTTAGCTAAAATACATTGAAAAGGAAATCAATGAAGAGGGAGAACTAGGAGATATGTGTTCACCTTACTTAAATGGAATAAAAGCTTTTGGTTTTTGTTGTCTTTTAATAAATACTGAATTTGAAATACTGAATTTCACCCTAAACCATAGGGATAGCCTACCATTCTATCTATGGTGGAAATACAGTTGTTGATCCATTATGAGATATTAACTTCTAAATTGAAACTGACAATACAGGTTTATAACAATGAAAGACAGAAACAGTTCTTCTGTTGGTTTGTAACCTGATTACAAACCTTCTGTTTGCTTAAAAAAACAAATACGGCAATATATACACAGAGTCTTGTAGTGCTTCAACCTACTTTCAATAGTTTCATATGAGCTCTGATATCCCCACCATTAGCTTCCAAAAGGAAATTACTGTGCAAATTCTTAGAATATACTATTGTCTTTGGAGCACTTCAAATAGAAGAGTGGTAACCAGAATACCTGAGGAGGTAGATCATCTAACGGCGTACATGAAACTGCTTTCGTATCATCTAATTGTTAAAATGTTTACCACGTTGATGCCACATTTGTTTGATGTGGCCACTACTAAATACCATAAACACTATTTAGTTGATGCCACTACTAAATACCATAAACATTATGGCAGGATGGCTAATGTATTTTATTACTCACACTATTTGGTACCAGGAAAGTTAAAACAGAGAAAATGAAAACTGGAAATTAATATCAAGTGGTTCCAATATGAATGATGCTGCAAAGCTGAGATTTCATTTCTGAGAAATATTTTTAGCAACTCTTGTTAGGCAGATTTTGAACATGTTTATCATCTCCGATTAGGTAGATTTTCTAGTCTGGGGAACCGACACATATTTGCTCTAGAACTGACAAAGGGGTTTTGGCATGAGTGGCGTGGAACAAATGAAGTAGTGGGTTATCTTCTTCAAAAAGCTCTTAAGAGCACATAAACATAGAAACTTTGTAAAGTCTGAGGCTAAAACAGAAAACAACATCACTAACAGACCATAAAATTAGAAATCAGTCACAAAAAGCTAGTCAAAATATCCAAGAATTTACGGTTGAAGATTGAATGAAATTGACAAATATTTAGACCTGAATTTCATATATGCACATATCAAAACTTGCAAATGTAACTGATGTGGTCTTTTGAAGGAGAAGAGGTGAAAAGTAATCAGTTAAAAAATTATACTAAAGAGTAAACTCAAAGAAGGTAGAAGAAAAGAATGAATTAAAGATCTGTGTTTACAAATAAACAATAAAAGTACCAGAACAAAAATAGGGGCATAGAAAAACAGCCATTTCTGACCTCTGGTCAGATAAAGGGGGGAAAAATTAGCTATGTTAGGAATATAAATGGGGACAATACTACAGATAAAATAGTTTTAGAAGACTAAAATGTACTATATGTATACAAGGGAATCGTATGCTTAAAAGAATTATATAAACAGGTACTAAACAAGCCTCGAAAAATACAACTGGCATAAATATTCCTAGAAGGAATCTTTTAGTCAATATGCACAAAGTATTTAAGCATTTCATTGTACCTCTTTTGTTTTTGTTTTTTTGAAACAGAGTCTTGCTCTGTTGCTCTGACTGGAGTACAGTGGCACAATCTCAGCTCACTGCAACCTCTGCCTCCCCAGTTCAAGTAACTCTCCTGCTTCAGCCTCCCGAGTAGTTGGAATTACAGGGGCACACAATCATGCCCTAAATTTTTGGATACTAAGAATTTTTTGTATACTAAAAAAATACTAAAAATTTTTATGTTTTTAGTAGAGATGGAGTTTCTCCGTGCTGGCCAGGCTGGTCTCGAACTCCTGACCTCAAGTGATCCACCCACTCCGTTTCCCAAAGTGCTGGGATTACAGGATTGAGCTACTGCTACCAGCCTTCATTGTACCTATTTTTGTCACCAGAGGTACATTTTGTTCTAATAACCACACCCAAAAGCATCTTTTTAAACTTTATAGTTTTGTAAAATGGTTAAAAATAACATTTTCCACCAATAACACAAATAAAATTTTAAAGTGTGGTCATATTATTTCATTCTTATTTTAATGATATACATATACATAATTTGTATGTGGATATGATTTCTTCAATGGTGGACAGAAACTTAGTGGTCAGGTGGCAGGGCGTGGTGGCTCATGCCAGTAATCCCAGGATTCTGGGAGGCCGAGGTGGGTGGATCACCTGAGGTCAGGAGTTTGAGACCAGCCTGGCCAATATGGTGAAACCTTGTCTACTAAAAATACAAAAAAGTAGCCAGGTGTGGTTGTGGGCGCCTGTAATCCCAGCTACTCGAGAGGCTGAGGCAGAAGAATCTATTGAACTTGAGAGTCGAAGGTTGCAGTGAGCTGAGATTGAGCGAGATCTCGCCATTGTACTCCAGCCTAGGCATCAAGAGTTTAACTCCGTTTCAGAAAAAGAAAGAAAGAAAACAAAAGAAAAAAGAAAAGAAAAGAAACTTAGTGGTCAGATGGCAACTACGGAGAAAAGGCAGGAGGTAATTTACTTTTCATATCTTTCAACTATCAGAAATGTTGTCATATGTGTTTATATTTTACACTGTTTTATTGATTCTAAAATGCCTTTTTTTCATAAACAACCCTGAAATTGGAGTGTTTTTTACAGTCATTGGTGTGTCACATTTTTTTCTTGCTTGTAGTACATGGGTTAAAATGATGAATTGTAAACTCAGTGGCGTCTTAGGAGTAATGAAAAATAGTTTAATAGTGAATGAAAAGCTATATAATTTTAACAGTTCACATTACTCTTGGAAATGCTTCCAGAGGAGAAAGGAATTAGGACAGATTTTAAATAGCATTATTTAACAGGGTACTTCTGTAATTTAGTGAGCAACTTCTGTGTACAACAGGGTACTTACTGTGCTGCAAGGATGATGGGAGAATATAGGGAAGAACGAAATCTTCTCTGATCGTACTTTCTCCACGACTGTGTAGGGGCTCTAGTGGGGGAATGATACTATTATTCTTCATGCAAAATTCACTTTTTAAAAAGGCTTGAAAACCTGACCATCGACTTCAGCTGCAGCTCATCAACCACAGAACTCCAAATCCGCCCGCTCATCAGCGCTCTGGGTGGAGAGGAGAAGGGGCTGCGGCTGAGCTTTCCTAGAAACAGTTATCTGGGGACACATTTCCTCTGGGCGTCTGAAAGGCGTGCCCACTGGAGCCGCTGGCAAAGCAAATTAAGCTGCAGGCTCCTCCTGCAACGTCCACTTAGCGGACTACCAGGGGAGTGTCCCCGCCCTGTGTCTTGAATTTAGCCAAATTCCTGTCATATCAGGCCCAGCACAGTGGCTCACGCCTGTAACCCCAGCACTTTCGGAGGCTGAGACAGGAGGATAGCTTGAGGCCAGGAGTTAAATTAGCCAAATTTGGAGGCGCGCGCCTTTCTGTGGTCCCAGCTAATCCGGAAGCTGGGGTGAAGGGGTACCCTGAGCCCGGGGGAACAAGGCTGCAGTGAGCCGTGTTGGCGGCGCCGCACTCCAGCCTGGGCGACAGAGCAAGATCCTGCCTCAAAAACAAACTAATAATCGTCCAAGAACCTGCGAAGGACACTTGCAAAGTTACCAGGCCACTTCCCTCGCAGGTGCCCGCGGCCGGAGAACGCCGGCCTCACCTGCAGACGCGCGCCCTCCGCCCCGGCTGCGCAGGTGACCCGAGTGGGCGGCGCGGGAGAGAAAGGAGCTCGGTGAGGTCGCGCGGGGAGGATGCGGGAAAAGTCGCTCTTCCTATTCCACTCGTAGCTTGCGCGTCGCGGGAAGGAGTGCCCGGCGTATGCAACGCTTAACTTCGCGAAATAGAGACTCATAAAAACAAGAATTCTGTCCAAACCCAAGGGCCCTTTCTCACTTAGGGGCGACACTACCGCATAAACTTAAATCCATGATCCCCACGTCACAAAAGCAGAAATCCCTAGCAGACTTTTAGCGAAAACCGAACTTTGCTAGCGCCCCGCACGCAGGGAGGGAGGAAGGGAGGCCACTCGGGACTGCGGGGTCTGCGGGACGCGGACGCATCCTGGCCGGGGCGTCCACTGTCGTCTCCACATCCCAGGAGGGTCGAGACGGCCGCAGGGAGCCGCCGGCGAGCCGCGCGGCCCCGTTCCAAGGACCCCGCCAGTCTGAGTCACTGACAGCTTCGCGGGTCAACGACACCCAGAGGAAAAAACGTCTCATTTGGACTCCCCGGCCGGGTAGTGGCGGGCGGCCAGGACCCCGGGCGGGGCGGGGAGGGGCGCACAGAGCTACAGGGGCTGGCGGCCGGCGGCGTAGGGAACGCGGGGAGGGGGCGCCGAGCGGCGGCCGAGTCGAGACTCGCACTGCGCGCCGGGGGGCGCTGTTCCCCGCTCTTTCCCGCGCGCCCGCGCGCACCGGTCCCGCCCCGCCCCGCGTCCCGCCCCCGACACAGCGCTCGCGGAGGGGAGCTCGGACCCTGACCTTGCTCGCGGACAGCCCGCGCTCTGCCCGCCGCGCCAACCGGCTGCCTGACTCGCAGAAAATCGGGAGAAAGGGTGGAGCGGAGCCGCCCGAGGCGGGGTAGCCTCCCGGAGCAGCGCTGAGCCCAGCGCGGGACAATGGGGCCGCGGCGGCTGCTGCTGCTGGTGGCCGCCGGCCTCAGTCTGTGCGGCCCGCTGTCCTCCGCCCGCACCCAGGCCCACAGGCCAGGTGAGTGCTGCACGGGAATGGAATGCGCGGGCGGTGGGACGCCGAGGGGAGACTGCGGGGATCCCGGCTGCGCCTTCTCCTCACCCCGCCTCAGTTTCCTCCGAAAGCCAAACTGGCATTTGGGCTATCTAGAGTTTTTCCCAGTCAGGTTTAGGTGGGGCGTGCCACCCCCTTCGCGGGCCCCATTGGACTTGGAGGGTGCAGCCCGCCTGCCACGGGGTGTTGGATACGGAGGAGGATGGAGCGGAAGCCTCCTGGGGGAGCCTGCAGTCCCGCGCTGCACTTGCTGTCATTGTGTAGCCTCTTTCTCCCAGGACCACTCCCTAAAAGAAAAGATCTCACGTTTGCTCCACCAATAAACATTCCAATCTTTTCAATATAAAGTGGAGAACTGCTGCCGCTGAAGTTTTGCTTTGTTGGACTTTTTTTTTCTTGCACATTTTACGGGCTAGAAAAGTGATGTAGAGAAAAGCCCAGGCAGTCTTTTGGCACGTTTAGCAGAGAATCAGTACCAGATGTCCTGGCCCGGCCTTGGTTCCAGGAGTTGCTCACAGTGCGCGATACATGGTGACAATAGCAGACGCTCCGCGTGGTGGGGGAGGGGCGGGAGTGGGGAGGATTTTGTTGTTAAATAGAACCCATTCCTTATAAGTGAGTTGCAGAAAGAGATCCCTCCCCAGGACCGGGCTCCCTGGAACACTGTGGGAACCCAGTATTTCTTAATGAGATTTCTGATCCGCTGCAGGGAGAAGATTGCTCATGTAGAATATTTTCCCCACTAGTAGTCTATTTTTAAGTATCCGGTTACTTGACCAAATAAATAAATTTGATTAATTTATTTGGTCAGATATTTTCTATATCCCTCTCTCCAAAAGCAGGGCAGATGAGTTGTTTTTAGCCTGTAAAGGGACTAATTAGGAAGTGAGAAAAGTGTTTTTGAATTTCCTAATAACAGTAGTATTTTATAAGCTTTGAGCCATTTTTTTTTCCACGCAGAAAGAAGTTCTAACGGGTTTTCTTGTTATCGCTAAAAGAATGTGCACTCTGTTACTCCCACACTCAAAAAACGTGTAGACAAAATCAAGATTAAGAGGTGACAAAGACATAGCATGTTCTCTCCTCTCTTTGTTCAGGGCGAGTTTTGAGATGCTTTTGGGAAAACTAAGAGCTCCAGACAGGGGCCCCAGTGTGTTAACAGTCACTAGGCTGCCTGCCTGTAAATAAGTGAGCATTGTTGCCGAGCGTGTTTGTAAGAACACTGAGAACTCCTAAAAAATTGTGTGCATGATACATAATTTCACATTGCATCATGTAATTTGCTCGATTTAGTTTTGGGACAAGCTCTTGAGAATACAGTGTTTTGTTTGAGATGGGGGTAGTGGAATGGAGAACAGGGCTTATAGAAATGCTGCATCCATTGTAGCCACCCTTTCTCACAGTCGCCTCCCAGCAAGGTGTGTCGCCTCATTAGGGAGTGAAGTTAAAGGGTGCTGGTTTCTGCCATGCTTCTTACGTCCTCATGGGAAGAGTGGCACGTGTTAATATGGACAGCACTGGTGTAGACAGAAAGGCAGGTGGACGAACTTGGCTAGTTTATCAGCACTGGATTCTGGAACCACTCTGGGAGAGAAAGGAGAAAGGAGTATGACAAAATAAAAGGAGCACTTGCTATGTGCAGTATTCCCTGGGCCAGAAGGAATTTTCACTTAGATTGTCTCATTTCACCTTGTCAAAACACCTTGTTAAGGTGGGTATTAATCCCCTTTTGCTGGTTCTGAAACTAACACTCAGAAACAGTGGTCATGGGGTGGGGCTGTCCACCTATCCTGGGGCTTTGTCTTTAGAAAATTTAAAATGACTAATAAAATCAACCAAAGATAAGTTTACTTTTTATTACCACCATGCATTGGCAGTTCTAAACATTGTCTGTCATAAAGTAGTGGTACTGGGACTATGAGTGTCTCCCATCCTTGATAGCCACTTCTGTGATAGTTTATTGCTCAGGATTTCCAGCTCTGTGTGCTAAGAGGGGCTGAGAAGCCCTCCCAGGACTAGCCCTGCCCACCAAGCTGAGCTTTGCCAAAGCACTTTCCGACTTTCTGTTCCCACTCATTTTGGGAATGCCTTGTCACTTTGTGTGTGTGTCTCATTTTCCCAGTTAAGATTATAAAGTTTTATTTATCCCCATGGTGTGTGAAACAAATGTTCACTCAGCAGATAGTTGTTGAGAAATTTGTCAGTTTATCAGTTTACATTCCTTTGTCTAGACAATTTAAGTGAAATGACATGTGATCATTAAAAGGGCCAACGTCCTGGCTTGACGCAGTGGCACACGCCTCTAATCCCAGCACTTTGGGAGGCTGAGGCAGGCAGATCACAACACAAGGTCAGGAGATCAAGACCATCCTGGCTAATACGGTGAAACCCCATCTCTACTAAAAATACAACAACAAAAAATTAGCCCGGCATGGTGGCACACACCTGTAATCCCAGCTACTCCGGAGGGTGAGGCAGGAGAATCACTTGAACCCAGGAGGCAGAGGTTGCAGTGAGCCTAGATTGTGCCATTGCAGTCCAGCCTGGGCAACAGAGTGAGACTCTGTCTCAAAAAAAGGCGGGGGCCAACATCCAAGAATAAAAGGTGATGTTTATGAATTTTATAGGCTTTAGAGGGTTAAAGTGTTCAAGAATAACAGGCGGTAACTATGACACTACGACAGAGAGGACTTGGTGGACAATTCCACTTGCTGCCTTCCTACCTGCAGAGTCAAACCCAATTCTGTGGCATGGAATGGAGTGTTTCTCCCCTTGCAAGAGGGTTCTCAGCCTCTCTCCAGCCACCTCCTATTACTCACCCTCCAGTTCACCCAGGCCCATCCTCTAGATCTCCCTTCATGGAGCTATGCTTTCTCTGGCTTCTGTCCGCATGCCATTCCCTCTGTCCAGAATGCCCTCCCCATATCCCATACCTCCCACATTCATGTTTAATTAAAAACAGCTACTCTCTATGGAACACTGACTACAGAGGACACCCTGCTTAGGGACATTACACATACTGTCTTACTTAACAGCCCATTGAGCAGATGTCATCCTCATTTTACTGGTTAGGAAAAAGAGACCCAGAATGGTTAAGTCACAAATTGAGAAAGAGGTAGAATTGGGACTGGGCATAGTGGCTGATGCCTGTAATCCCAGCACTTTGGGAGGCCAAGGTATGTGGATCACTTGAGGCCGGGAGTTTGAGACCAGCCTGGCCAACATGTTGAAGTAATCTCTACTAAAAATATAAAAATTAGCTGGGTGTAGTGGTGTGCCTGTAATCCCAGCTACTTGGGAGGCTAAGGCACCAGAATCGCTTGAACCCAGAAGGCAGAGGTTTCAGGGAGCTGAGATGGTGCCACTGCACTTCAGACTGAGTGACAGAGTGAGACTCTATCTAAAAAAAAAAAGAGATGGAATTGGGAGTTGACCACAGGCCTATCTCTCTGAAGTACAGGCTTTCTTTACCACCCTCTATAGAAAGGAAGCCATTTAAACTCCCAGCCCATCTTACAGTAGAGAAGTAACCCACTGTGCTCCCTAGTACCCCTATAGACAAAGTCTGTGCCCTATTGCCTTGGTAGCCCAGACCCAGCACAGGGAGGTATTTAGTAAGCATTTATGCATGGATTGTGGTATCCTACCATTTGCATTTAACAGATGGTAAGGTGGGCTCTGAATAGATCTCTACTCATGAATATGCTAATTAATCAGATGTTACAAGAGATATTGCTAGTTAGCCTAAACAGAAAGACACAAAACTGAACAGTAGTTCTACCCTAAGCAGACCAGAAAGCTCTATAAAGCCTGAAAGTCAGATTTCTTATGAGCCAGTAAGTAATTTTTTGCACTACTGTCTGTCTGTCTATCTTTCTATCTAATATTTCTTAGTGGCTTTGCCTTTATTTTTATAGAACATGTCAGCATAGCAGGTTTTCAGGGTCCAAGTGCAGTGGCTCACACCTGTAATCCCAGCACTTTGGGAACCCTAGGCCAGATGATCACTTGAAACCAGCTAGGCAACATAGTGAGACCCCCATCTCTACCAAAAAAATAAAAATTAGCCAGGTAAGCCGGGTGCGGCAGATGACCTGAGGTCAGGAGTTCGAGACCAGCCTGACCAACATGGGGAAACCCCATCTCTACTAAAAATACAAACTTAGCCGGGCATGGTGGTATATGCATGTAATCCCAGCTACTCAGGAGGCCAAGGCAGGAGAATCGCTTGGACCCAGGAGGCAGAGGTTGCAGTGAGCCGACATCATGCCATTGCACTCCAGCCTGGGCAACAAGAGCAAAACTCCATCTCAAAACAAAACAAAACAAAAACAATGAGCCAGACACAGTGGTGTGCAGCTGTAGTCCCAGCACTCAGGAGACTGGGAGATGGCCTGAGCCCTGGAGTTCAAGATGGTAGTGCCCATGGTCATACAACTGCACTTTAGCCTAGGTGACAGAGTGGGAGAGATGCTGGCTCCAAAGTATTTAATAAATAAAAATTTAAAATTCAATTGTTTATATTTTAAAAAATAAAATTGAGGTAAAATTCACATAACATTACAATTAACCATTTTAAAGTGTACAGTTCAGTGGTATTTAGTTCATTTACAGTGTACAATGTACCATCCCAACCCTCCCTACTTCCAAAACACTGTCATCTCCCAGAAAGGAAACCCCGTCCCACTAAGCAGTCATATCCCATTCTCCCTTCCCCCCCAGGAACCACCAGCTTGCCTTTTGTCTCTATGGATTTACTAATTTTTGATATTTCATATCAATGGAATCATACAATATGTGGTCTTAGTGTCCGGGGAACTTTAACTAGGTGGGTTTTGTTGTTGCTGCTGTTGTTTTTTGAGACAGGGTCTAGCTCTGTTACTCAGGCTGGAGTGTAGTGGCACAAACTTGGCTCACTGCAACCTCTCCCTCCCAGCTCAGGCAGTCCTCCTAACTCAGCCTCC